GTGTGTGTGTGTGTGTGTGTGTGTGTGTGTGTGTGTGTGTGCCCCATACAGTAACAAAATTGGGTTTTCATAAATGATTGTATAGTTTTGAATGAGGTGTTTCATTTTGCAATAGATCTAAGGTGTTCTGCTACTTAGGTGTGTGGTTGTATGTGTAGTGTCAACAAAATGAGCCCTGTTTTCAATTATAAAAACTGTAATACATTAAAAGTCAATGTCACAGAATGGCAATGTTTACATACACTAACAGCAATAATTGTGCAATTAGAGCATCAAAATGCAATACTGAAGCATCCAAACAAATTAGCCTTCAACCGAGTCCTCTCATTTGACCAGGAGCGGGTCTCATCTACAGTATCGAGCTGATCTTTCACACCTGAGTTCATTTTCCCGAAGTGATTAAAATGTCACAGCCAAGCCAGTAATGCATCCTGACTTAAAGTTTCACCAAGGATTGGGAAGAAGACTGTAAATTACCCCCAAGGAATGTAGCATTGACTCTGAGTGAAAAGGTGGTAATCAATCAGAGCACTTCACTCAAATGTCAGTTAATTAAGGTGCGTGTGTGTGTGTGTGTGTGTGTGTGTGTGTGTGTCCCACAGAGCAAGATGTTCATATTAAAGTACATTTTAAAGTTTTATTTCCTCTGATACCTGTATACTGATAAATATGCTAAAGTGTCAGAAACTTTGGTGATTACCCTCGAAGCGATTCCATTGGTATTACAATCATGTCGATTTTCTAAGTGCAAATAATCATTACCGAGCAAGGACGGAACAGCTTTCAGTGAAATCACCCACTGCCATAAAGATCCTCAATTTTATCTTTTGCTTTCAGATTTCTTGAGGGCACGGGCAGAAAAAAATCCTGCCGATTGGTTGAGACAGCTGCCTCAGGTATCACGTGTTCCCCTCCTGGCCTGAATAACGAGCAGACACATAAATGAGGCTGCTGCTGCTGCCAGGTGTCTTTGAGTGAGCGAAGAACATGATTTATCAAAAATAATTAAAATTAAAATTAAAAAGTCTGCACGTCACTTGCATTCTGTTACTTTTATCACATGGCTATTAAAGGTTAATAATGCGGCACTAAAATCAGGGAAGGAATGGCGCATGTGTGGATGGTGATTTTGTGATAACATAATTGAATATGAGACCCAACTGCCAAATTCTAGTTTGAATAAATGTTTGTAGATATTACAGGTACACCTTCATTCTCCCCCCCACCGAGCCCCCCCCCCCCCCCCCCAGTGTTCCAAATTAACATCACTCCAAGACAGGCGACTTGGAAGTTGTTATCCAGGCTGCTCCCGCCGACATGAAAAGCATCCCTTCTGAACAGCCCTGATTTCAATCAAAATAAAGACGAACATCCTTTGATCATTGGATCGCACCTTGTTTGCCTTGGCTGCAGTTAGACAACCGAGGACACGGAGGCTATAGGTATCAGCTTAATGAGCCACGGGGAGAGATTTGAGTCAGATGAAGCACAGCACTGCTAATATTTCTGTTTCCATCGAAACCGTTTGAGAACAGATACTGAAGACACAATGAATGCATCACTACGACGGTAAAAACTTGTCCTCTGCTTTGAGTTATTTCAAGAGAACTACTCTCAGAAGAAGATACGTTCTGTGAGGAATTATTAATCCATCATTGACAATAACCTGCATTTACACTGTGGATCTTCTATATTTACTCTGACTCTGACAGTTTCATGTTTACCTCTCACACTCCACATTCCAAATGTTATTGGAAAGAATGGATCAAATTCTGACGACACAAAGAGTAATTCTTACTTTCCAATGATTGTGTACGGGACAAACATGTTCTTATCCAGATCCAAATGTCATGTTAATAACACCTGATGTAAAACGGGTCTTAAGTATGTTCATTCAAGTCAAAGCCTTTGGATATCTTTCGTAGGGAAAATAACAGCTCAATGATTTATTAATAATAGTCTTTTCATTTTTTAAACCTTATTTCCATCTTGTCTTTTATCAGTGCCTTCGGTGCTGTTTAACTTAACATGTAATTTAACCGCTGAGACTCACCGCTGTAAAAATCAATAACTCAACGTAAGTTAGCAAATGTTACAGATTCTTCTGATGGCCAGACCTACTTTGGTTTTCATATTCTGCATCCAACCAAAAACAGAGAAAACAACAGTATGAGTGGAACATTGCGGTGTAAAAACTCTCCTGCTGTAACATCATTAGCTTTTTATGAACACCTTATTCCCAGTATCCTCAAGCTATGTGTATTTATGCCGACAGAATACTGCCATATAGGGTTGTATAACCAACAGCAGGCAGCTGTGTATATACTACTTTAAGCAGAACCATCTGCAGCCTTTCACTGTATGTGTTCACATTGTCTGCCCAGTTCTGCGGTATGACAAGTTGCAGTCTTGAACCGGCGCGTACAGGGTCCTCTCATCTACACAATCTTCATCTCTGAGCATGGTGGAAATGTTTGGAATCGACAAGCCAGATAACGAAGACTGCTTTCCTCACACAGCCACAGATTCTGCAGCTCAAGGAAAATGGCTGCAAGTTGTTATGTGTGTGTGTGTAGCAAAGCTGTTTGCTTGAAAAGGTGCTGTTCTCATAAAAGATTAATAGTTGCCTTGTGGCCCTGAGGCACCCGAGCCAACAACTCAGGATTCATAAATAAAACTAAATGGATCAATATTTCCAAGACTTTAGAGGTAACCTATGGCTACCTCTAGCTTTAGAGAGAAAGCTTTGAGAAAGGTTAGCTTTTAATCGAAGCCCTCCCCCAGTAATAATAAAGGAAGTGTGGTATTTGATCATCAGAACTACACAGAAATGTACCTGTAATCTATAAACAGATTCACATGCTGTGAAATTGAGAGATTCAAGTACTATATCCTCTGTAATCATAAAAGTTCAAATAAACCATAGCACAGCTGACGCCACAGCGGCGTCCTTTTTCATTCCTTAACAGGAAACAGGTGACAAAGTGTGGATGAATTGTGGCAGAGCCATTCATTGTCTCAACAGCCAACATCAGATGCTCATTTATCAAGTTTTATTGGACCAAAGTGCCAAAGCAGAATGACATATTACACTGGGAAGGAAAACCCACACGACAAATGTGACAAATAGAAACATTTGCCTGTAGTTTGCAAAGCCATTATCTTGGCAGCATGATGATGATAATTATGATGCATGTTTTGATTGTACAAGCTGTCCTGTCACCTCATCTAACAAATATATATTCACATTGTGTTTATTTGGGCTTTGACTGCAGGTATTCGGTACTCTGTGGATGTGCGATATAATATATGCATACATACAGTTTGCCATTGAAAGTATTTAAATCATAAAACTATATTTTCTAGTGTCTGTAGTACCAAGATTTTACACGTTGTACACCAACCCCTGCCGAGGCCGAGCCCTGAATCCAAAGCACACACTTTGTGAGTACACCTCGATAGTGGGCTTCTCTTGCTGCTTCAGAGGGAGAGACAACAGGTCCTGAGTACATTTTATATTTGAAGTACATTTTTCAAAAAAATACTTTTGTGATTTGTCCGTCCGTCCTCCCGGTCCAATCTCATGAACGCAGGAACAGTAATTTCCTCAAAGATGAACTGGTTATATGTAAAGTAATTATACTTTTCATTAACAGATGTTAACATTTTTCACTTACAGATTTCCCTTTAAAGTTGTTTTTGTAATAGCAACATTTTGACTGATTTGCTCATATTTTTGTTCTTTCTTTAACTGTTGTATTTCTGGTCAGACACTAAATGCCTCAATATGATGCATAGTAAATGTGTATTCATCACAACACACGTGGTTGTTTTGAACTTGATATTTGTGATACAAGTGGGGATTTGCTTTCCATTGACTTTGACATTTTTGTGTACACATGCGACAGAAAAGTCAACTCTTGCTGACTCATCTATGTGTGTTTTATTCTTTCCTTTCTCTCCCAAGGGGACTAATGCCTCGAACACTAGACAGCCAGATCACATTAGAGAAGACGCCCAGCTACTTTGTCACCAGAGAGGCACCCAGACGCATCTCCAGCATGTCCCACGAGACCAAGTTGATTGTTGTGGTGCGCAACCCAGTCACAAGAGCCATCTCCGACTACACACAGACTCTTTCCAAGAAGCCCGACATCCCCACGTTTGAAGAGCTGGCATTTAAGAACAAAAGTCTGGGTCTCGTCGACTCTTCCTGGAACGCCATTCGGATCGGGATGTACATCCTGCACCTGGAGAACTGGCTGCAGTACTTTCGCCTGTCACAGATGCACTTCGTGAGCGGGGAGCGGCTGATCACGGACCCGGCAGGGGAAATGGGCCGCGTTCAGGACTTTTTAGGACTGAAACGAATAATCACAGACAAGCACTTCTACTTTAATCGATCCAAAGGCTTCCCCTGTCTGAAGAAGCCGGAGAGCAGTAGTCAGCCGCGCTGCCTCGGCAAATCCAAGGGCAGGACTCACGTACAGATCGAACAGGAGGTCATAGAGCAGCTGCAAGAGTTTTATAGGCCATTTAATATCAAATTCTTTGAAACTGTGGGGCAGGACTTCAAGTGGGAATGAGAGTGCTATACAGAAACAGAGCTGTTTTTAAAATGGCTAGAGAAACATAGATGAGGACACCTTCAGCAAAATGTTTAAATAACAAGTTTATTGAGCTGTCTATACATTGAAAAATGAATATAGGAGAATATACAACTTATTAGAATATACTCTTATAAATGGTTTTACATCATGATGGGATTTTGGTTGGTTCAATCTGATAACAAGTGCCATTTCTTTGAAAGATATATACAAAAGTCACGTTTCTTTCCCGCATACAAGACATATGAATTCATCAACAGACAACCAGCATTGATTCATTAACCAAGTCATTAACCAGCAACCGTCACAACGCCTTCCTGTCATTAAGCCATGCCAGACCTACACTAATGACATCGCTAGAATATTCATTCCTGCTCTGAATGATCCGCCGGCTTTCCCGTTAAAGTGAGCTCTCAACATCAAGTTGCACCAAAATGTCAAATGAATAATGAAATCAGCCTGGCAATTATTCTGCGGAGAAGTGTTCCTCCTTATTGTTGATGAAAGGTCAACAGTGGCAGGTTTACTGAATACATGTACTGTAACTGAAAAGGAAAACAAGAACAGCTATATTAAAAACAGATGCTATAACTCTGACAAACTTCAGCGCTTTCTGTGTCAGTATTTTTGTTGTGATCATCGAAATAAAAGGTAAAAGTCTTGAATTCAAGTATTTATTTGGGATATTTTGTGTTTTTCTTGCCTACACGTGAGTAAAAGTAATGTTTTCTTCTTATGGTGTCAACCCTGTCTCCTACAAAACGATGTTCTCATACAACTAAGCTGCACTCTCAATTCGGTTTAGAAGGAATGGTACCTTCTCTTGGATTACAGCTGCAGTTATAAACAGTTTGAAACACGTGGTTATACATTGAAACAAAACAAAACAGAAGAAAAACTATTTGGTTAGGTTTAGTAAAAAATATCATGGTTTGGCTTGAAATGAATGTGAAATTGAAACAATACAAAATGACTTGGGTCACACAGGACACACACAGCAGTCTCCTGGGTGGAAGCCCTGTGTTTTTTGACCCATCCACCATCTTGACCTCCTCACTGTGCTGACTTCACCGTGATGCATCAAAACCAAATGTAAACCCCGGCAATGCAGTTTCATTATATGGGAACAAACCCTAAAAAACACAGAACTACATACAGACTTCAGGGCACGACATTCACTCTCATCTCCGGTCCAAATCTCAAAGATAACATACTAGTACTAAGAAAGAGACTTTGTATTGAGCCTCTTGGAAGATAAAACGTCCCTCACCAAATGCTGCCATGCATGTCACTGATCTCATTAACTTTCAAGATTCCTCTGTTGATAGATGTGATCGTGCTCTTTCTGAAGGGCGAGATTAACCTCTGTGAATTTGCATCCTGAAGCCAAACAGAGTTGTCATTAATAATTTCCACTCATCTGCAAAAAGTTCTCGACACAAAAGAGGAGTAAAACTGCAGAACACCAAGAATCTGTGCAAAAAGTAAAAATGATGATGATGATGATAATAATCCAACAAATCCCCAAATGAATGGATGCATCTGCGTTCTGTGACATGCTGAGTGGAATGTCTATGGTACGGACCACAGATGTCAGATCAGCACAGGATTAAGAACACAGACGACCTCTGCAATTATTTTTAAATGACGTCCCCAGGTAATCCTTGTGTCCCGTATGAATGCAGTTTTAGATTTAACTCAATTGACGACAACATGACCTTCTACCACTGCTGAAACTGGCATGTTCTAGGTTTAACATTCGAGCCTGATTGGTCTGAGACCTTGGCATTCTCCTTTTATCAGTCCCTTCAACTGTTTTGGTGGTGCTGACGGATTTGTACTTGTTGTTTATGGCAAATGTAGTTGTTTGCAGTAGGAACGTTGTTGGTCTATTCTCTTAATCTGACCATTCACTAACACTAGTTAAGACATAATACATCATAAGACTGTAACTGTACATCCTGATTCAAGAGACTTTGCTCTATGAGGTTATTTAATGGACATATTGATGAGATAATATGATAATCCAAGCAAAGCACCCTGGATGAAACAGACAAATTAAGCTGCTAAGGTAATGATGAAGCGGTATTTAAGGGTATGAAAATATATCTGGGACTTCTTCCACAGGTGTTTCACTGTCATTGTTTAATCCGCTGCTGCAGGCCTGTGAAATGAGCAGCACTATCCAGTCACACTTAGACTAATGTGCAAAAGTGACAATGTGACCTTCCATATAAAGGAAATTAGATATTCACTTGCATTCCAACTGTGCTCCTCCAGTACATGTCCGGCGGCCAGCAGCAGTATTTAAACTGTCATTTATGACACTCTACATTCATTTTTGATTAACCTGCCAATGCCGTCTGCAGCTGCCTGCTTCTTACTGAGCCATCAGCAGACACGTCAGTTTAGCCACTTTATCTCAGCTCAGTTAATTATAACTTCTCCCCAAGAATGCTTTGGGCTTTGATGACATGGCACCGATGAAAATAAAAAAACACCGGGCTGCCACTGTGTGATACCCAATGAATACTTTGATGTGTTATCAGTCCTGCATGTGGTTACTTTCCGTGTGAATTCAGTTGAAGAATATTAGGTGAACTTTTTTTAGTAGTATTCATGGGTAAAGTCATATGTTGCAGAGGGGGAAATGGCAGCTGTCAAAGTTCTGCACATGCTTTTCCTTAAATGCTTGTGCTTATTCAAGGGGAGACATCCCGGGCAAATAGGGTCAAAACTAGATATTGTCACGAAACTTTTTCAGAACGTTTTCAGAAAATAATGTTTAGATATGCAAATGAGGCATTATCTTATTCAATATTCAATTTGCACACATTTCTGGAACACAAATGTGAACATTGGATAAGGTTCACATTCTTGTTTCACTTTGTTGACTTATTAGAGTCAAAGGTTTTTAAGAGGGGATTTTGGATTTCTCTTTTGAAATATTCAATAAATCTGAAAATAATGTCAACAGCCATAAAAAAAAACTATTTTCGCCATGTTTTCAGGAGGAAAAAGTTTCATAAATCAGGCTATGAATGATGAATGAACTAATTCCTCAGTAAAAACCTTTAAATTATAAATAGGAATGAAACTGGAATGAAAATGTCTGGCTCAGAGTCTGAGAAAAAAAACTGTTTGAGAAAACAGCCTTTAAAGACATGTAATTACTATGTGAAGACACTTAAGTTAAAAGAGAAAGCATTAACCAATAGAACCATAAGAACTTCCCCAGTTCATTACTTACATACAGATTTATTTTTGGTATTGCAAGTAATGTAATTTCATGTTGAAAACAAATGAGGCATTATCTAATGCGAATGTAGGAGAAAACCACAGACGTAAATAGACAAAGTGGTCAAATAAACACCTAAATGTGTAATTTGGATGTTTTCTTCCCACTGGTCTGAAAGAAGACATTTCATCCAATCAAAATTACACCAAATCTCTAAATTGACCGATGCATGAAAAACAAAGCCATTGCCTGTAGTGTATCGCCGTAATGTTTATGCTGTCGTGCAGCATTGAAGGCATCCATCTTACACCTGCAGCTGAGGCAATGAAAACACACGTCGATGTAAATAAAGTATCCTCATTATGAAGAAACACAGGTTTCCTCTGGGTAACTAAAAGCTGTCTGACCATTCTAAACTTCAGAGTAAATACCAAAGAAGCTGTTGTAAATGTCATGAACTTTGAAAGAGTCTGAGGTAAAATACACCTCTGCCACTCATCAGAAATGTCTAACAGTACACAATAAAATCAATTACCTCGGAGACCTTTTATTTTCCTTCTTATTAAATGAAAAGAAATAACGAGGCAGCATTGGAGTATATGTTTTGCAGTTGCCTCTTATGGACTCCAAAGCTTCAGAGGTCTTTCATAACTCCTGCCTTGAAGACCTATTTGAAATTCCACTGAGGCTCCGACCCTGAAGCTTCACACACTTTACAAGCTCGCGTCTGTAATCTCGATATTGTCGGGATGACATCGAAAGAAATAAAGCCGAAAATGTTCCGTGTCCCAGAAAAGCACAAAGGCTCATCTAAAAACATTCATCGATAATATAAAAAATGCTCAAATACAAAGATGGAAAAAAGGCAGAAAATATCTAATGATATTTAGCGACTTCTTGTACGAACCAAGTTTGCTGCTATTTGGATTGCTGATGTAACACATGTAATGCAAGCAGCTTGTTTCTTTCTGGAATACACACTTTCTCCAAGAAGATGTCCTCCCTGTGGGGTACAGTGTTGAAGTATTTATATCGAGACATCTCCTTGGCCCCCGTGATGAGCCAAAGCTATGGAGGATAATGAGGATGTTTCTTTTTTTTCTCCAGCGGACAATGAGAGGAGCATGATTTGAAACTTGGCAGCCACAAACCCCTCCAGAAATCTCATTAAGCTAACCTCCACCTGCATCACTGCACCTTTTGAATATGTCATAATTCCCCAAGGTTTTTTTTTTTTCCAGGAACATGTTGTGCATCATACTTCAAGCTGCTCCTCTAAATTAAAAGATGTACCCAAAACATGAATTTATTTCCTCTGCAGATGCATGCTTTCTCAGGATTCTGCTTCATGCAATGACGAGTTCAGTGTCGCACTAGTGAAAGGATTCCCATTAAAGAGGCCATGCAGGTTGTTTGGGACACACACACACACACACACACACACACACACACACACACACACACAACCAGCATATGTACTAATAACCAATGTGAAAACCTTTCCCCTAAAACTCATTTCCTCTGGTCTGTTGAACATGTGCTGCCTGCCTTACCTTCACAAAGGTAAGGCAGGCACAAATCATACAAAAGTGTTATTGATAAAAAAAAACACAGCATTTCTCTACTGTTTCCATGGACATGAATCAAAGCTGGAGAATGTAAATGAAAAATGTTGGATGTGCAGAAATATCTGGAAATTTTGTCAGCTGGAATCTCATTGGAGGAAAAAGTTCCGTCATAAGAACTTTGGTTCATTCAATCTAATCTAAATGGGATCTAATGCTGCTGCTCCCGGTTAAAATCTGCAACGTTAATGTGCCAAATGATCTGAGTGCTTGGATGATGGCAGCATGTTCACAGCCGGACAGCAGAACTTGCACTATACTGTCATGTGATTCCCCTGCTGAACAAGCTAAATAATATTTCTTGAATCTTGTCCAAAAAGTAATGGAGAGTGATCAAGTTACATTCTGTCAATGTTGCGGTACTTGGATTAGGTTAGTCACGAACAGGTAATAGTAATTATATCAGAATACATTGTTAAAGTGACCCTATCAGTCCTGTGCTGCGATATCTGCTAAACAGCATTATAATGAAATGCTTTTTTGTTAGTGAAATCAAACGGGAAGACAAATGGTGAAGCTACTGTTATGAAGGCTGCAGCCTTGCAAGTCACAGAGCTGTCCAGTGTCCACTGCCTTCCATTGCCAGGGGACCCCCAAAGGACAAGAAATGGTCCGCAGTGATAACAGACGTCCTCTGCAGGAAGCCTGATGAATTCAGTCAGACTGAGTCTGAAACTTAGATAATTAAGTCCTTATTCAACTGAGGGAATGTGCCCAACGGCGTGTTCAGGAGAGCAGAGCACAATAAGGAGCTCTGCCAAATGACCGGCACTTACCCAAACTTTCACCACTTTTGTCATTCAAATCCCAG